AATAGAAAGGATAACATGAACAAAATATAATAGAAATACAATGTTTATAAGATGAGGATCAGTGATACAACTAATATCAGGCAAAATAACATCGGATCCAATGTGAGCACCAAGCATACGAAAAAGAAAAACAAGAAATTGTGTTCCTGTTAGATATGGTCCGACAAACGCCGAAAAATCTTTCATAAACCAAGAGAAAAAGTATTTTTGGCGCGTAATAACCTCTGAATATATGAAGTGTGAGCGTCTTTTTGTAAACAAGATTAAATAATGGTAGATTGCACAATAGATTATTGCATGGATAAATAATGCAGCAGCGACTGATAATGATAAATATAAAATGATGAATAGACACTTGCTTATAGAAAAACTAAGACAGGTGAACAATAGTGTATAGATAGATATGAAGTTCGAATATGATAAATCATTTACGATAGATGTATTATCCGATGTTACAAAGGGTATTTGATGAGCTGGAATACCGAGTAATATACAATTATTTTCTGTACTAGCTGTTTTTCGTGTAACCAATGTAAGACTTCCAACAATTACTTTTGGAGGAAGCCTTATTGCTGGCATAATTATACACCGATTACCAAGATTAGTATGTGAGCCAAGATGTATTTCATCAAGAGAACATAGTCCTTCTTTTGTTAATTTCATTGGAGCAAGATTAGCTTCACCAAACGTTGTCGCACCACGTTCGATGTTAAGAAGATTTGATGGAAAACGTAATATTTGTTGAAATTCAGCGAACTTGACATCATCTTCGACATGAGCACCTAACCATCGTAAAATTACCGATAAAAGGACATCGTATGGTGATAAGAAATCTAATGCGTGATGAAATGATGTTATAATCAATTGACATAACCACACTTTGTGTAAGTGATAGTAAGAACTGATTGGATAGTATCCTGATGTGGCAGATCCTACAATGAATTAATGGTAGTGATAAAATCGAATAGTAAAAATGGACGCCATAGGCTAAGAGCAAAACTAAGCTATTAATAAAGAATAGACATAGTAAACCCCTCCCCATATTAGAAGCCCTCCAGGGCTTCTAAACTGTCCATCATCCAAAATTTTCGGAAGGGGCTTCTATTACGTCCTAAGTTTTTCAATAGTTTTACATGAAAAAAGTTTCAAAGAATTTCAGAGATTTTTAGGGTTTTTCGAACGATTTTCCAGAAGATTTCGAGATTTTTACGCTGGAAAATAAGAAAATCAAACAAATTACTACCTTAAGAATTTGAATTTTGATGGGCTTCAGATCAAAATATCAGTAAAAACTTTCCAAAAGTTTGTAAAATAAGGGGGGCTTCTAATATATCTTTCGTATCGAGCCTTCTGGAGGGGGCTTCTAATAGGAGAGGGTTTCTAATATAGGAGGGCTTCTATTATGGGGAGGGGTTTACACTATAAAGTATCATCCATTTGCTAATCACATTTTTTTAAGTACTTTGATATTGTTTGAAAAAGAATTGTCACTATAGACCCTGCAATCACTCATATATGCTAATTTCTAATATATCCTCGTTCTATTGGCACAGAAAGTCAATTGTTTGCTCTCTAATAAGAAACAGCCATACAGAGGAAAAGATTGACAAATGCTTATGTTATATCGACAATATTCTTGAATAGTTCATAATGAAATATCATGACAAAGATCATCACCTAACTTTCTCCACATAAATTTTATTCTTTTCATATGGTGCTGTTTTTTTGTTCTATTGTACATAATTTGATAGAACATTTGAAATAGTTCACTCTTAACTGGCTAAGCAAATGATATAATTAATATCTTGAGCCATCGAAATTTTCTCCGATTTCCATCCCACTTGATTTCGACCAAATAACCTCTTGATATATTTTCATGCAGCCATTATATTTATCTGGATTTACTCACAATTGAGAAAAAATACCGACAGTTCTTGAAGACTCACACAAGTAGAAACAGTCATATTTTTGAAATTTATAAACTTCTGCGAGCTTTTTTTTCATAAAAACAATGCCAATAAATAAAATCAAGAACAAACAATATTGACTTCAAAAAATATTTGTAACCTTTTCGAAAAATTCTGGTATACATGATGTATGTAGATGAGCAATTTAAATTCTAAGATATTTTCTTTTCTCTTAAACAAATTATAGAAGGAATTGTGTATTATACTTTTAACCAAATTAACTTACTCTACGATAGATAAATAAAAAGGTTTGTGTTTTACATCAAAAAATATAAATAGTGCATTACTTACCTTCATGAACAATGTTTGGTAATCTGCAAAATTTTACTTGTTATATTTCTTGAGCTTCATCAAGTAAAATAAGCGATAATTTCTTAATAGATGTAAGAGATTGATCAATTTGAGAAACATTAGGCTTTGAAGAGAAAAGTTGACAGAAAAGATGTTGAAATCTTTGTAAGATCTTCTCAACTGTCGACTTATCATATAGATCATGCGAGCAGATCAAACGACATGAAAGCCTTTCATCATTCGATATTGGATTGTAAACAAATGTCAGCATAAAATCAAATTTAGCTACTTCACACGATGGATCTAATGATAATTGTTCTACAATTGCATCATTCAAAGTTAAATGATCCATATTGGACGAAAGAGTGACATAATCAAATACAGTCTCAAGAAAAGGAACATTTGATTAATTGAGATGAAAATCAGCAAGAATGTATTGTAATGGATAATGAGTATGTTCAAGAATTGACAAACACTTTTCTTGTACATGTTTGACAAGTTCATTGAATGACCAATGAGAATAAAGTTGAATACGACGAGGTAATGTTGCAACAAACATTCCAATCATACGTTGTAATTCACTACTATATCGATTGGGATTAAGGCAAGTAATACAAAGATCACTTTGACCATAAGTTAATTTAAAGAGAAATGCATAAAATGTAGCTAATCCTAATTGAAATGGTGTGACTTTATGGGCAGAAGCATAATTTAGAAATGCTGTGGCAATATCCTTATCGAAAGAAATTTGAGTTACAGATGCAAAACTAGATCGCTGATCAGTTGATAAACGTTGTCGATCAGTTGGCAATGACAATATCGATATTCAATATTGTATCCTTGAAGTTGTTTGTGCCAAAACTCACGTGTTAATGTTAGATCTAGTTCACGTTCATAAACAGAATAATCAATGTATCGTACTGGTTCTTCATCATCAGACCATATTGTATTACTGTTGTAAGCATGGCATAGATGATCAAAAAAAAATAGGAATAGATGATCGATCCATTGCTGCATGATGAAAAGCAATAATGAGCACATCAGAGTCTACAATGAGTTTATTAACATTGTTTCCATTGAAGAATTTCTTTTGTCGAACTATTTGAACATGTAAAACACGACCAACTGATAAATCGAACAAATCAGGATCGGTAGTCACTTGATAAATCTAACAAGTCGAAGGGCAGTCAACGCATTGTATAAACCCCTCTACATAAAATTATAAACCTTTTTTTCCAGTATTCATAAATTCGTCAAAAATTTATGAAAAAAATGTATATGGAGTAATGATTTATTACACTACTCTTTTTGTTTTTTTTACAGTATATGCAAACAAAATGAACCAATTTCTAACTTCTTAATTTTCCACAGAAAAAATTGTATTTTTCGTTAGATAACGTATTTGCTTGTTTGTTTTCTTATTATTTCGTCTGTCTGCTATTCCTTTGAGAATCTTATGTAGAATAGAGAGTGAATTCGGATACGATGCTAAGTTGTTAATTTAGATAAAAAAAACTGGACAGTAATTTGAATAAATCCTGACAAGACTCCTATTTCATCATTAGAAATCGTCTTTATTAATATTTAAATACTCTTTTAAGTATATTCTATTAATTTGTTGCTTAATGATGATGATAATCTGCAGAAGATAATTTAAACAATATAATCTTTTCTTTTTATTCTATCTTATGTAACAAAACAAAAAAATTATAATACGAAATGAATTATTCAAAATGAATTCATTTGCATTTTATTACGAGGTGAATATTGTCTTTGAAAGTTTCTTGCGAAAATACGTTGTACATGTGATAATGATTCATATAATGAATTAAATATTGCTATATCTTTAGTTGTAGGTTGTTTATCTTCATTTTTTATAATAATTTTTAATGATTTTTTAACACATAAAAGTACAAAATGAAGATCTGATAAAAGACTATATGTATCATCAGGACTTAATTCATTTTCATTAATCAATGATGCTTCAGAACCTTGTTTAAAAAAATCTAATCCATAACTATTCAAATGATATGTTGTATTCGTATGATCTCGACAATCAATATCAATAAAAGGAATAATTTTTGGTGATAAATCAAGATGATAAACAAGATCCCATGAACTAACAATTGAATTATAATTTAACATTAAATTTTCATGTGTAAGACCAGATAGGCCAGCAAATGGTGATATTGATGGATTTTGTATTTGTTGTGATTGATGATAATGAAGATTATATTCAAATGTTCCATTATCATAATCTTTTGTTTGAGCAAATGAAATATTTGAAAATGGCAATATTTCTTCTTCTTGTTTATTATTCAATGAACGTAAATATTTTGTTACATTTTCAATATAACATCCATATACATCTTTAACTATACTATTATATTTATCAATATGTTTTCGAAATTCTTTTGAAATAGGTGGCAAAAATAATTTCGAATTAAATTTTGATTCTCGTCGATATTCTGAAAGATCATTATATTCATGACGTGTAAGTAACCTATAAAATATATATTGAATATGAATTAATATCAAAAATTTTTTGTTATTTACTTACCATGGCATATTAGTAAAAAGATAAGCAAATATAGTCATAATTTCAATTTCATCTTTAACTGAATCAAAATATTTAGTATACATTAGATAAACAAGTAAAATATTTGCTGGTTCAAAATAATGTAAATGTGTTAGAAGACCAGCTAAACCAATAAGATCACCATGTTGATTAATTAAATTTAAACGATAAAGAAAATCTAATGTAAATAAAGAATGAAAACGTGTTTGAATATCTATCAATTGATGTTTCATAAATGATTGTGCAAGTAAAGGACATTGTAAAGCAATTAATGATCGATTTATTGCATCATTTGAATCTTTACTATTTGAACATAAATGAAGAAGACGCATAAAAAATGTAACACTTGTAGGAAAATGTGCACGAATATTTGGTATAGCTGATATTATTAAATGGCTAATTTTTGATAAAGGTATATCAATAAATACAACATGACCTTGTACATCGAAACCACGACGACCGGCACGACCCGACGATTGTCGATATTGTAATGCATCAAGATAAATTGAGTCATTAACAAAAGCAACAGTTTTTGTTGGCATATGAATACCAAAAGCTAGAATAAATCTTTAATAATTAATATTTTATAAGACAAAAGTAAAAAGTTTAGAAACAAAGTATTTTCAACTTTTATAGTAATAAACAGAATTCATATTGGAGAAAAAATTTGACTAGCAAAAAGTACTTCTTAAATTCGTAGAATGATTGTAATTCACTGAAGATAGCTCGTGAACATCTTATTTTAATTGGAGATGTTTTGTCTGTTAGATGAGTTTGTTTGAAGAATGTTTTTAATCGAATTCGGAAAATCAGTTTTGGGAGTTCTAGTTTTATAGTAGTTTTTCAATCAAAAATCATAATGAGAGTTTGACAAATATTTCTTCTGATAGGAAATTATTTCAGCTGATGAAATCTTCCGTTAAGGAAAAAAAGGTCAAAAATACTACTTTTTTAAACTTTTTATCTCTTCATTTCACATTTTGTGAAGTACATACCAAGTGTTGCCGTAGAGAAAACCACTTGAATATATCGATTACGGAAAAGTGCTTCAACAGCTGCTCGACCTTTATTATTTAATCCAGCATGATGATAAGCTACACCTCGTTGTATATATCCAACTAATCGTGGATTTTCCCTTGATGCTCGTTCTAATAGAGAATCAACTAATTCTCGATTACATCCATGTCGATTAGCTAATGTACCTTCATCTAAAATACCATTTAATAACTGTTGTTCAAGACCAGAAAGTATTACTGGATGATTTTTGTCTTCTTCTAATGTTTCTGATTCAACAATATTATTATCATCATAATTTCGTTGTTTAGAAGATTTTGATATTTTTTTCGATTTGATTTTTTTCTGAGTTTTTTCAACTGTTTTCAAACGTTTATTTAATAATTCAATTTGATTTTTATATTTTGTTTCTCTTAAATCTCTTTCTAAATTTTCAAAATATTCAGCAATATGTGTAGCCATATTTTCACATAATAATCGATTATCCGAAAAAACAATACAAGGTAAAAGATCTTTTTCTTTTAATGTTAATATAAAATCAACAATTAATAATGATATTGGTTTTGATTCAGGATAATAAATATCCTTTGAAGTAATCGGTTTGAGAGATGTTGTAATTGAATCAATAATTAAAGTTTCTTTATTTTTAATCAAACTATTGAATTGATTACAAACAAGTCGAGAATAATCATTGCATTTATTTCGTTCAATTATCCAATCTGGTGAAAAATATTGTGTTAATACTGGCACTGGTTTAGAGTCGATCTGATTTTCTCTATCATATGACAAAAGAAGATTCATTATTATCTTTATTCATAATTATGCATAAAGTGTTCATAAAGTTTTCATATGCATTTTATTTATTAAGATATGTACAGAAGTATACCAACCATTTTTAATACTTTGACTGCTCTTCTCTACAAAAAGCTATCTTATGTCAGATACTTTGAAACATCATGAAATTTTTAGGATATGTTAGGAAGAAGTTGTGCTAAAATTTTTAGCCCTATAGCGTGATATGTTCGTGAGACATTCAACAAACAAGAATTAAAAATAGCTCATTTGGTAATTCAGAATTCTCTATAAACCTTCATTTTATACAATCAATTTTAATTTGTTGGAAAGAGCACGTCAGGATGTAGAATATGATACAAACCTTTCTTTTAGACTCTTATTTTTTAAGCGAAGAAAAAAGGATGAAGAATTCATTGCCTTCGAAAATTGTAAAAATGGCGCTGTAATGATAAAACTATATTTTATATAATAGTTTTCATGATTGTTAGAAATCACGGAATCTTGGTCCTAATTGAACTGCCGTGAAATATCAACACATTTATAGACAGAAACAGCAGTTTTTTCAAAGAATACAACAAAAAAGTGATATTTTTTTTAATTTTTTTGGATAAAATTTTAGGAGTATTATAATTCTATTGCATATTCGATGCTTTACAAGACACATACTCATTAGCTGTTTTGACACCATCGGAGGTTGAATATGAGGGGGGAAAGCTCGAATTTGCTGCTACCTTCATCGACATGATAAAAGGATTTTCTGTCGCTGTATATCAAGAGGTACAAACTATATTGCTATCTTTTCTCGCCTTTATATGTTCATATACCAGAGCTTATCTTGCTTATAGATAGAGGACTGTATGAACTATAAATAGACACGAATATTACTATAGCAGTATTTTTTTTAATTGTTTTTCGAATGAAAGCCGTTTAAGATTTTCTCTTCTGCACTTGAAGTAGACTTACATCCTATTGACTGATAAGGTATTCATAGCATCATTTAATTGTAAAGTTTCATAAGGTGATAATGAAAAATCTTTAGGAACACCTCGTGTTATTAATTGTTTTGTAGTCATCAAACCAATTGGATGAATTGGATGTAGTTGTCGATTGGAATATAAATATTTATTCAAATCAGCTATACGTTCATGATAAGCAATAAAACATACTCGGCGTGGTTTTGATGTTTGAAATAATTTCGATCGTTGATTTTCAACATTTTCAATCCAACGACATACTTCATCTACATTATTAACTGTTGTTGAAAGACCAATCATAGGACAATTAATGAGTAACATTGATTTTTCCCATACATCAGATCCAATGTCACCAGACATACAATGAATTTCATCAAAAATAGCATATTTTATTCTTTGACACCAACGTTGCTGCCAAGGTGATAGCAGAAGTATTTGCATACATTGTGGAATAGTAACTAATATTCGACATCCATCCATATTTGAGCGATAATCTCGTGTAAATATTCCAAATACAGGACCAAATTTATTATGAATTGTAGCTAAAATACATTCAGAGATTGATTTAAAATACAAAAATAAAAATAAAAGGACACGATAGTACCAGCAACTTGATTAACAAGTGCTTTTGTTGGTGCTATATATACACAAATGCCATTTGGATTATCCCGATCTTTGAGTACTTTATTCATGGCATAATAGGATGCATAAGTTTTACCTATATTTATATAATAAATGAATGAAAATGATGAATAAAAAAATGAACTAACCTGAAGCAGTTGGTGCTACAATTATAATTGATTGTTGTTTATCAACAGCATCAAGAAATTGTCTTTGCCAATTATCTGGAATGAAATCAGATACTCGACTATCAGGTATACCATGTTCACGTCTTGGTAATCGACTATTGATTCTTTCCATTTGAAATCGATACCATTTTTCTTGATCTAATAATGAATTATCAATAAGTTCTTTCATATATTTTTGCTTTTCACCAAATAGATCAATAGTATTTTCAAGATAAGCTATTTCAGTCATCGTAGCAAAATAATCAATTTCAAGATAATCTAATTTAGATTTTTCTTCATTTGTTAAAATATTTTTCTTTCTTAATGTTTTTAAATATTTTCGTTGTAAATGAAATTTTTGTTTAAGTAATTCAAGACGATTTTTAGATATTTTACATTTAAATAAACTTCCATCAATAATTTCAATAGCTTTTGAATAATTATCGAATGGAATTTGTTTTAATGAATCTTTAACATGAATAAGTTGATCAGTTTCATCTATAATACATTTATCTATTTTTCGTTGTTTATTTTCTTCGATAATTTTGTCACGTTTTGTTTGATGAAATTTTTCTGATTGACTTTTTTCTTTGTGTTTCTTATCACCAGATGCAGAATCTGCTTTATCTATATTATTCATTTCTTCATTTATTTGAGTAGCAGGAAGAACAATTTGTAGTTGATTATCTCTCACATCACGACTTGTCAACGATTTACCATACAAAGTGAAGTAGGTATAGCTATAAGAAACAAATTCATTCATAGTTTTTAAAAAAAAGCAATGGAAAATGATTAGTATTTCGATAAATACATCGTAAGATAGAAGACAATCACCGAATCATACTTATGCCTTACAAGAGAAAACACCTGTTAAACGATTGAGAGATACATACTAAAGGAGAACATAAAGAAAATATATTAGATAATAACAACTGATCGACAGTTATACAACTGAACACGCTGTCAAAAAATTAACAGTAAGAAGAATTGATATCCTTAATGGCCTAGCTCGGTGGAGATTCAGCATCCTGTATCAACAGTATTAAAAGACTTTCACTCCTTTCTACAGACACGGCCAAATATAAAGACAACTTAGTAATGTTAAGTCTTACAATTTTTGTAATTTTTTGGTTCGATAGCGATATTTAGTAGAATTTTTATATTTTTCTTGATTATCTCGTACACGACTTATCTCATCACCAACCTACAAAGAATAGATTGTAAAATATTACGTTAATAATTATAGAATATACCTCTTTATATACATGCCAATGATATTTTCCTATGAAATACAAAACTATTTCAATATCCAACATATTTAAGAAAAAGAAAATAAAGTATACCTTCATATCGAGCTAAAGAAGTGTTATCAGGAGTCACAAAATCAAATGTCCATTGATTTTTTGCTGAAAGTATGGGTTTTAAATAAATATCAATAAATGAATTTGATATTTTTGTAATTTTCTGTTTTTCAAATGGAATCAGTTGTTTGTCAAGTGTTGAAGATGTAACTATAATATGTTTGGATTGAATTAATTGTTGTACTATATTACGAAATATATCTTTATCTATAGAAACTTTCAATAAGGTTAAAGATTGTTTGACAATATTCATCGTATTTGAATCAAACTTTATCTTTGATGATAATTGATTCAGTTGATAGAGAGTAAAAACAAAAAGACGTCCATCGAATATGTCAACTACTTTTGCATACGATAACGATGAATAATATGAGGATAGACATAGTGCAAGATGTTGTTGAAATTCAATAATTACATCAGAAAATATCGAACTAAATGTAATAGAAGGAAAGTTTGATGGTAGATGGCGATCAATTAATGATAAACGAATAAGAAGAGCTACGTGAAGAATAAGTAGTGGACTAAGAAGATTGAATAAATTTTGTTTGTTTGATTGTTCCTAATCAAATAAAACAATTATGATTCATTTGAATGATATGATTATCATACTTTTTTATTTTGAGTGAAATTCATTATTGTTTTGAGATAAATAAAAAGTCGTACATCATCTTGATTCGTTATGTCATATATTCTTCTTCCAAATTCAATCGAGTCATTTTGGTCCAAAATAGTACTAGAATTTCGATCAGGTGATAGTTTTCTAACTCTTTTCTCCAATAAATTCATTGAACATTGTTTCATAAATACAACTCGAAAACATTTCACTATTGTATCAGTTAATATTAATTTGTTCATTAAATATAAACTGCATTGAAAATAATATTGATGATAATTACCAAATAAACGATAAATATAGAGAAGTTTTATTAATGTATTTTTTGATAAAAGAGTATTTTTACAGATATCAAAACTTGTCATATCATGATAAAATATAAAATGTGGTTTTTCTTCATAAGCAAATTTTATATATTCTTTATCAAGCCATGATGAAAATTGTCGTACTTTTGATGATCCATATTTGTTTATATTTTTTAATAGATGAGTAATAAGACAAGCACGGATCAGACATAATATAGACTTCTCATTGTGATATAATTGATAATGGCAATTGAAAAATACTAATGTATAATTACATTGTTGTGTTTGATTAAAAAGTGTAAGAAGAATACGTTCAATTCTATAAATAACATGAAGAGTATTTCCATAATATGTAAGAAGATCAATATTAATATGATGAGCAACAAATAGAATTAATGAATCACCATCAATAAAATAATTTGCACTATCACGAAATTCACGATGTAAATCAAGAAAACGAGCTTTATATGGATAAAGAATATCAAGGTCATTGGATGACATCACTGTTATTATATCTTGTTCACTTTTATTTCTTGAAATAAGCGTTTGAATTATTTTTACTATAGGTTTATGTATTTCAGATATAGTAGAAGATGATAAATTTGAGTGAAAACATTTCATAAGATGGTGATAGTCTTTTTCATCATGAATATTATCTAATAAATGTAAAGCAATTTGTTGTAAAGCAATACTACTGATCTTTTCATTTTCATTTTTAATACAATGATCAAGAGTACGAAAATAAAGTTTAGTCAAATGAATATGATCTTGTTGACAATAATATAAAAATTCAAGAAGTCGTTTACATTGACTAACTGGATCAATTAACACATCAGATTGTTTAATCAATTGAAATGTCTATATAAATCGATAGATAAAGACCATGTTCAGTTTTTATCCATTGTAGAATTTCATGAAGAATTGTTTGATAATGAAATCATATCATTTCTTGTATGATTCAGTATTTACCTTTGTATTATACTTCTATGATTTATACATGAAAGAGTGACTCTTAGATATCTTAGTATAGATAATAAATCGTGAAATTCCCTACAAGAATGATAATGAGAAACTCTATCGAGTAAATTTGATGACTTTTTGTAAGGCTGAAAGTGAAGCACTGCGATGTAAAAGACTGGTAAAAAAAAATGATGTCTAAGCGAAATCCAAGTCATCTTATTTAACAATAACCACTATGTAGAAACTATAAGTATTTGATTTTCAAGCCCTCGCAAAACTGTTACAGAGTCAATTAAAATCTTGCACCGTTTTTTTTTCTTGTTTCCTGACATATTTAAGGAAGCAGTGGACGGTTAAATGAGTTTCATTCATATTGGAACAATATTGATGTCATAATTCAAATGCTCGAGCTGAAATTTTCACTTGAGAAAGATGATAGAACGAGTACTAGATTGACATATTTTTCAGTTGGTTTGTTATGAAAACGAAATCTTCATGAAATTTTACTAAGAATGGCTCTTGCTCTTTTTAATGTATCAAAAAATACAAATGTAAATTAACCTGACTTTTTCCATGGATTTGTAATTGTGATATTTTTTCGTCTTCATTATCCGATGATGATTCTTCTTCAGATTCACTTTCTGATTCATCATCTGATGTTTCATTACCAGCATTAATAGCTATTCGATCAGCAATGGCACCTTGCTCTTTTTGATAATAGCGTTTCCATTGTTGTAATTTTTGATCAACTACTTTCTCAAATATGGAACCATTATGCACATTATTGTATAAATCGTGTTTTTCTGTAATTGCTTTACTAAATAATGTTTCGGATGTTGTTTCAGTATCGAGTAAAAACTCGACAAATGTTTGAATTTCATCATTCATTTATTATTATAATTATAATATTGTCACACGGTATACTATTAATTAATATAGAATAAACAATGACTGTGATCTGAATACAAGACAAATAACGCGGAAAAAGTATGAATTCGTTAGCCTTATATTGACATATGACAAGTTTTTTTTATCGTTATCTATACATAAATATCCTTCTGTTTTTCTATTTTCGAAAAAAAAGCAAATAAATAAATAAAATTTTATTATTAATGCTGTATTTTGAATGACTAATTTTTCTTATTATGGTCAATTTATCTTGTTGATATACTGAAATGATTTTTTATCTATATATTCATACTATAGAGAAACGTATTTCAAACACAC